AGAGAGGTCTGACTTCAGGCCACAGACTGCGAACAGGCCAGGAGAGGTCCATGATTGGCCTCAGATCAGATGTGAATGCATGAGGGCACAGCATCTTCTTTGGGTTTAGTCTTCTTCTGGTGGCAGTGATCTGTGTTCAGTCGTCTCTGAGCTTCTGTGTTGATTTCTGTCTCAACAGTGGGAGTGTCTCACTTTTATCTTCTAACAGGAGGAGCTCCAGAGTATTCCWGAARTTACTGGTACTGACCACAAGATTCCACCAGATGGYGCTGTTTTTCTTGAATTATAAAGTTGTTGTTTTTAATGCAAACAAGAGAATTACAATGGAACAGAACTTCTTTTGTGTGTGGTTTTGTTTTTCACATTAAAATATAACTGCATTTTTCAGAACAGTTTTTTTTCACTGATAAATTTCAACGTCCCTTTGCACTTACTTRTGGTAAAGACAAAGTGAAGTAAAACTAATTGTTTTCCTTTGGATCCATAAGTTTTAAATAGTAATAAATTTGATATGACAAAAACGTTGCATATTCAGTCCCATTTCATAATTTATTATTAACGTAATAAAAATGTATTCATATTATTTTCAGTTTACTATTATTTCTTTGTATGTCATTCAGGCAGCTAAATAACATTTTTTTAAATGTGCAGGCCACCTTTAAATTTCCCAGGAACATGTATAGTAATATTTCTACTTAGTTAATTAAGGCTTAAGATAAACATAAAATTCACAAATTGTGTTTGTAAACAAAAATGTGTGACTTCTGTAAAACAGCACCATCTGKTGGAATCTTGTGGTCAGTACCAGTAATTTCAGGAATACTCTGGAGCTCCTCCTGTTAGAAGATAAAAGTGAGACACTCCCACAGCTGAGACAGAAATCAACACGGAAGCTCAGAGACGACTGAACGCTGATCACTCTCAGCAGAAGAAGACTAAACCCAAAGAAGATGCTGTGCCCTCATGCATTCAGATCTGATCTGAGGCCAATCATGGACCTCTCCTGGCCTGTTCGCAGTCTGTGGCCTGAAGTCAGACCTCTCTTCAACCAGCAGGATCTCTTTCAGAGAACCTTCCAGGAGCTGCGCAGCAGTCTGGAGCTGATGGACAAACTCCAACAGCAGATGCTGGAGGACTCAGGAGCTTTCAGGAGAGGTGCGGCCCTGCAGCCAGTCTCCTACCAGCTGAACAAAGAGAGAAATCACTTCGGTCTGACCCTGGACACTCAAGGCTTTTCTCCAGAGGAGCTGTCAGTCAAGCAGGTGGGCAACAAGCTGAGAG